CCGTTTCGTCACGCAAATATTGAACAAATTAAAACTAAGGATTCTGGGAACGAAATACGGACAAACGACTCAAAAACGTATAACGAGTTATTCAGTTTTCAATACAAACTCTCAATAACTTTTTGAATTCTTGATAGTGTGAATTTTAAAAAGCGGATTGCAATGAAAGTTTTCATTTCAATCAGTTAGTTTAAATTTGACATTTTAAAGCCTAATTACTCCAAGTTTTTATTTTTATCAGTAGTTTTCTTTGGCAATAAGTGAAATTTAATAAAAGAATGAATTTAATGAATCTTAATACTCTCATGGTGGGTATATTCAGTGCCGGACAAAGCAATATGGGGGCCCTAGGCAGACATGGATGTGGAGACCCCTCCCCCCACATATATTTATTTTTCTTCAATTTTGAAATAATTTTTATTATTAATATTTTTACAGGAAATCATGACAAAATTGATGTAAGTACTGTATATTTCACTACAATCCCTTTTAAACACGATAACGAACTTTTAATTTTAATTTCTTCATTTTCAACTTTTTGGGGGCCCCTTAAACGTTGGGAGCCCTAGGTGGCTGCCTTATTTGCCTTATAGTACGGTCCGGCACTGGGTATATTTTTAAAAGTTGACAAAACTACCCCTCTTTCGTATTAAGCACCTGAGAGTAAACGAATTTGATAAGGTCAAATATTTACCAGCTCTCTATACATTTGCTGTCAAAATAATATTTAGTAAAGTAAAAATATATTTAGTTAATATGTAAATAAATTTCTTTTTAAAAGTTGCGACCAAATCGCGTTTAGTACATATTTATAAAAATGTTTATGAAGTTTTAAACCATAATTTTGAAGAAAGCTTAAATTTCAACTCTGAAAAAATTGTTCAAAATGCTTCTTAATCTTTTTAAATTTACTTTTTTATATTAATACTTGTATAAGGATTACACAAAGTAATTTTTGTATACACATTTTTTATATATAGAAAATTGAAAAAATTACAATTAGCGAAAAAAATAACGAAACAAATAAATAGCTAATAATAAATAAATTTGTAAAAACGAAATTTAAATTTTACAAAGATATTTAAGCACACAAACATTGTTAAAAGTTTACCAATTATGAAGTAACATAAACTATTTAAAATGCTAGTGCCAATAAATAAAGCATTACTTCATCAAATAATCCGAACTTTTGATTGAATCGTTTATTTTTATTTGAATCTAAACACATACGTATATTGACTCGCTTCTTTTACAATTCCTTTTGATCGCATGACCTCTTCTATTGTAAACTTTTTACTCCCTTAAAAATAGTGCAATATAAATAGTTGCTTATTTTTGTAAAAGCTAGTCTTGAGTTATAAATTCTTTTATAGACAAGAAAAGAATCTTGAAAATGAATATACTCCATATTTCCGCACTTCTGAAATGCTGCGCTAATAAAATATTTGATACATGTTTATGCTTTTTTCAAATAACTATTAAGACTTTGTTTCAACCCTCGCACTCCTTAAGCTGAAATATAAAAGTTGATGATTTGCTGGTCCAAGAAAGTTATAAAAGTAGAAGTATGAGGTTGTTTAATACCGATAAAATGTTTATATAATAAAGGACTAAATGATACAGAAAATCAACAATAAAATTATGGCTATTTCGGCAGAAATGTATTTCAGGCACACCCTTGAAATAAGTAGTCCGTAAAAAACAAATCATGTTTCACGCAAAACATTTGAAAACCATACTCTAACCTTAAACCCAACAATAAAGAATTGCTCTTCTACTTTAGCCCTGTACGATGAACCTCTTTTAGTTTCTATTCCAGTAACTCCTAACTTTTAGAAAAAAATTTCTTTTGTTCCATGTCTTTGGTGCTTAATGAAATGCCATTAGCTTCAAAGAATTGCTTTCAAAAATTCTGCGCTCTGACTGATATTTTTTATGAGATTAACTTTTTTCTTGTGGCAGTTTTATCTTATTGATGATAACCCAGTGGAAATAACTGTTCGTTATACGTCTTAAATATGTACATATTTGTAAATTCTTTAAGACGTCGTACAGAAGACATACAAGAAGACGGCTGTGCTTGCTGGAAAGTTGGAAATTTCATTTTTATTTCATGTTTTATATTGCAGTTATTTTTGAGTTTTTTTGTTGTTGTTTTAATATTCATAAAATATCAAATTATTGCTAAAGATAATTTTATATTCATTTTTATTTTGATGATTTTTACCGGGTTCCAATTTAATAATTGAAAATATTATTATTATTATTATTATTATAATTATCATTATTATTATCTGTATGACTGTAAATATTTGTGTTATTATTATATTATTATTCGTTCAACTGAAATGAAAATTTAAATCTCAGAAAAATTACGCTCCTCTGAGGTTAGTATTTATCTTTTTAACTTTATATCTCATTTGATTTCGTTTTTATTTTATGCTAAATCTCTTAAAATCATACTAGATTAAATTAGTTGAAAATTATAACAATAATGTAGTTCGTAACTTATTAACTTAACATAATCTAATAATATACGAAATACATTTAATTACAAAAAAAAAATTATTGCAACTTATGATTTTAAATCTCGGTTAGTTTAAAGTAAATTCAAAATCAAAAATTACTAAATGATTACATCTCTGATACCAAGCACAAGTCGGCGCGACATCAGAACAACTTCGGACACATTAGGCTAACGTTGTTACGACGTTGGTCCAATGTAGTGTATTTGCTGGGATGACATTCTTTTTTTGCTTTTCGTGTTAATATCGTTTAGTGTTTTTGCTTTTTGTGTTAATATCGTCAAAGTTGTGTTTAGGAGTACTTAGAGATAAAGCTGATAAAATATACTACTTTATCCATATTTCTAAATTTTATGCAAAGTTATGGACGAAAAAAAATACTTTAATTAATTTTTCCAATAATTTTGTTAATATAAAATATTTTAAAAATTATTGGATAAAGTTACTTAAATAAAAAAAAAATTATTATTTATAAATGTTTATCTATTTTAGTTAAATCAGGCGCCAATCATTGTAATGGCGATGACGAAATAAACCGATGAAGTCTTTGCCGCGTCTGCTTTATTCACCGTCTAAACGGCTTTGGTTTTTTGAAAAAAAATTATTACATTATGGATGCCCACACCTTATATGTGGTGTGGGTATCCATAATTTCTTTCAAGAAACTGTGCATGTGCATGTGTGTGTGTGTGTGTGTGTGTGTGTGTGTGTGTGTGTGTGTGTGTGTGTGTGTGTGTGTGTGTGTATGTGTGTGTGTGTGTGTGTGTGTGTGTGAAAATTATAAAAAGTAGCTAAATTTACCATTTAGTTAATTTTTTCTTTAACCTTAAGAGTAACCTTGTAATAAGTGCACCTTGTAATGCTATTTTGTTGATTAGTGCACGTGTGAAGATTTGCTGATTAAAGTTTTAAGTGCACTTTGTAAGGATATTGCTTGTTTTTTTTAACACTTTTTAATTCACAAGTTCACTATAATATATGATTATTTTAACTCTATTGTAATTAAATGGTTTATTTTTTTTTTTTAATTTATTTGAAACAATTTATTTCAACATCTACTTTGATACATTTTGCTTCGAAGATTAACAAGTCTCTGAAGCAAAAAACAGCCTTAACCTTTGACATTGATTTTATGCAATGACTGCTAGGATGATAAAGTTTTAAAATATGAACAACTCAACCTCTCTTTTTACTTTTGTTCAAACGACATTTTTATTTCTTTTAAGAGTTTGAGCTTTTATTTTACTTTTTACTTAGTTTTTATTGTTCTTGATTTTTAGATAAATATAAAAAACACGTCATTGATTTTTTAATAAGATGTGTAATTTTTGTGTCTGGATTTTACATCCATGTTTCCTTAAATTCAAATTGAGTCTCGTCTTCATTGATTTATACTTTTTTGTTGTTTTAATTGACTGCAATAACTTATTCAATCTGGTATTAAAAAAAAAAGCATTTTAATCTTTTCAGAAACGAAGCAGAAAATTATTAAAAATGATAACCATTAAATCGTTCCTAGCTTATCGTTTTTAAAAAAGTTTAACTCCGTCGTTCTCTTACCTTTTTTTTTAAAGAAAAAAAATATATAAGCAATAAAAAAAAGTTGATTTAAACTTAAAAGTTACAACTAATTGAGTGGATACTCTTTATAATCTCTAAGAAATAAAGGTTTTATAACAATTTATTGGTTTTACAATTAATTATTAATTCTGGAAAAAAAATCATCTTTTTTGCTTTTTTCTAGTTTTACTTTTATCATCACTTAATTTTAATTTATAAAAATTTTATTTTAGATTTTTAAAGTATTTAGCTGTAGATGATTTTTTAAACAGCTAACAAATTCCAGCTTCTTTTACGTACTAACACATTCCACCTTCGTAAGTTTGTAATTAATTTTCCAATTTTAAAGTTAATTTTTTTGGGCCACACTAATACTTTTAACTTGGCACTAACACCTTTTAACCTCATTAAGCCTGTACCCATATATAACCTAATATGAGCCAAAATTATTATGAATCAAAACAAAGAAGTCTGCACAGTTTCTCATGTTTCTAGTTTCTCTGCAAAGTGTTTTCTCTAGTTTCTCATAGAAACGTTATTTTAAGTTAGATAAAGTGCGCATGCACTAAAACGTAACAATGTTTATTTTTATACTTTTGTTTTTTATATCAAAAATTGACATGTCAATCGATTAAGAAAATCAAAACACAAGTGTTGATTCATAAAAAAAGAGTAAAAAAAAGATAATGAAAGCTAACTTTATATTTTTATAAAAACTTTTCATATTTAATGAGTAATGAGAAATGACTTGTTTTAAATACTCTTAATAAGGCCTCTCCCCCCTCCCCGCTGTTCTTATGCCTTTTGGCATGAAGAAAATCTCGTAACAAACAAATAATTATAAACATATTAAGAATAACAAAGTATAATAAACTTACTTACAAAATGAGAAAATCAACAAATCTTAAACTTTACCTAAATCGTTTAGCATTAAAAACTTTTGCTGATTCGATATATCTCCCATGATTTTTATATGTGCTTTTGCCATCTAAAAGCATAAATCATTTCGTGAAATTTTGTCACAGTTACTAAGTTGTATATCACTTAATTTGTAAGTTGGGGGAAAAAAAGCTTAAAAAAATAAACAACATTATCATGCACTTCATTAACATTTGTACTAATACTTATTTCGCTTCAGAAATTTGTACCACTTACAAAAACATAAGGGGTTTAAATTAAAGCGTCAACGGATTTGAATGAATTTTTTTTTTTAATAAATCGAATAAACATAAGCTTGAACTTACAGCTAAGCTGATCTTTTCAAGTGCAGGTAAGAGTGTGGAAGAGCGAGGCTTCAGAAGTAACTACAAGAAAAATATCAACATAAATCCGGCTATTATTTAAATAATAAAAAAGTTTATAAATAATTGACAAATAACTGAATGCAATTAGTGCTTAACATTTCTGCCATAAAAGGAATAAAAATGTACAACTTTGCTTCGATCATGACTTTCAACGGATATTAAAATTAAAAGTTTCACACTTTTACAGAACTAAGAAAACAGTTACAAAGACGATAAATAAAAAAAAGTCATACTTACAAAAATAAGAGCGCATGTAGTATATTTGCTTTCATCGTATATCGGCCAAGTTATAACTATTAATAAAAATACGTAAACTTAAGAATAATCTACAATTGTTATTCACTTGAGTGCCACTCAAAACTTTATAAACAGAATAACATTGTATTTCCTTAGATTTAATTAAAACAAAATCTAGTACCAACGACTAACATCCATCGATTACAATAGTTAATTTTTGTATGTAATTTTATGACTTAATTATTCTCGTTTTTATCCTAATCATTCGCTTTTTTTATCGTTTCTGGCGATTTACTGCTTCTGTGGATTTACTCTACCGTTTTAGTAATTAATAAAATTGTAAAGTCTACATTTTCTGATTTCAACTTATTACTTATCACTAAAATGTAGAGAAAACTGCATTCAGGTTTAACTGATATCTTGTTAATACTTCTTTTTAACCAATATCTTCATATTTTAACTATTAATACTATTCAATATAAACTATCAATTAAAAAGAAAAGTATCCAAAGTTATATACATAGATGTAAACTCCGTAAAAAAATTACCTCGCTTTTTGAACGAGTGGTTTTGATGGGTTTAATCAAGGCCTTATAAACTGAGTACTTTTTAAAGGGCTCTAATTTTTGTAAATTTTGTAATAACTCGAGCAATATTAAAACTTTTCGTATTTGATTTTCTTATATTATTGGTTTAGAGAAGGGGAAGCAAATTTTCTATAAGAAAGGGATCGAGCAAAAATAAATCTAGTGACTGAACGGCAGATACAGCATTATTCCGTGTATAATTTCAGGGAGGAGCACATATCATATTATGCCTTAACTAATTATAAAATATAGAGGAGACATTTACCCTAATTGGGTTGGAATATTAAAAATACAAATACACCCCCATAAATGAATAATAAACCCGAAAATTTAGCTAGAAAATTTATGCAAAAGGTTTGTATACCTATTTCACCCAAAAATTCTGTGTTATTTGTGCGCATACACACAGGGTTGTTTATAAAGAATTTTTTTAAACAAGGGTCAGTAAGTAAGAATTTGTACCCAAAACTGCATTCATTGAGTAGACATCTAGAAAGCAATTCCATAAATGTTTTATACATCATCATAACAAATATTCTTTAATAAATAACTTTTTAGATATTCAAATAAGAACATAATTGGCACCTAGATGTAATGAAAAAATGCTGCCCAAATAATCCATGTTTTTCACATTTTATATAAAAAGGTTTAATAATACTTTTACAAACCTACTCTTTCGTCCATTTTTTTTTAAAAACTCTCCTAAAACCTCATTAAGGAGGAGTGTTTTTCTCTATGCCTTTTTTGATAGAAACCAGATTTTTACTAGATTCAAACTCAAACATTATCTTAAGAATTTACCTGGATCAACATAGTCGTGTATCTTAATAAAAAAATATTTTTTTGGATTTAGCAACAGACTAATCTGTAAAACTATTTCATGATTTTAAAAAACACCAGTTGCTTGTTTAGGTTTTCAAACCTAAACAAGCAACTGGTGTTTGTTTAGGTTTGAAAACCTAAACAAGCAACTGGTGTTTGTTTAGGTTTGAAAACCTAAACAAGCAAACTGGTTTGAACCTGATTGAATAATTTTTTATATAAAAATGGCTTATTTGGTATAACTATGGTTTTGGTTTTAAATATCAGGGCCAACGGGAGGGGGAGGGGGTACGTGCTCCCCCCCCTCCTACACACACTTTTTTTCTAAACGCCCGTTTTTTTTTTTAAATATAGAGGACATTTTTTAAAAATAGACGATTGTGAATATTGTTTCAATTATAAATATGATTATTTAAATCTTTTTAATTAGTTCTTACTAACAGTTAAAAATTTAAAAACCAAAACCATAATTATTGAACTATATTATATAAATATTGTTATATATTTTACAATGCTTATAAAATATTTACTAGGCATTGAAAATTTTAAACGAGTTTTCAAAACGTTAAAAAGTTCAAGCTTTAATAGTTATAAGCGGTTATATAACTTACATATAAAATATTAATGTAATTTTATAAATTAATGTGAGTTAATATAAAGTTTATAATTAATGTAAGTTAATATAAAGTTTATATACTAAGATAAACTAAAAAGTTTTATTTAAATAAAAATTTTTATTGTAGATTATATATATATATATATTTTTTTTTTATTATTATTATTATTTTTTTTAAGTTGATTAAGGTGCCCCAAGAAGTCCTTACGGTCTTATCACAGAGCACCGCAGAAGAGCATTTACTAGGAAGTTCACGCCTCCTTCCCAACCGATGTCGCAAAACTTGCCCAGAAGTGGGGTTTGAACCACGTATCTTACGTTTCTGAGACAAGTGCGCTACCACTGCGCCACGGCTTTTCTACTTGGCTTGACATTAAAAGATTGAATTTAAATGTGATCGATCCACAATAACGCATCATGTAACAGGTTTAAATGTAAAATCGGTATAAAATTGAATATGAAACCCAAAATGATTCTCCAAAATTTCAAGCGTCTTTAATCAAAAAAGAATTAAAAAAAAAAAAGCATAAAAAGTAAGCTAATAAATAAAAAAATTAATATATTTCCAAGGATTGTACAACTGCGGACAGTTTATACAATTTTGCGGACAGTAATAACAATTTTAGTATGATTTTCATACTGAAATTCTTATTGTTGATTAAAAAAAAATTGTTTATTTGTTTTGCAATTATGACTAAGATATTTTTGATTGACGGGAGATCTAAATGTTTGTCTCAATTCCATTAGTGTGTTTAAGGGGGGAGAGGGGGGATAACTTGTTTAAACCCTTGGCGTTTAAAACTTATTAAGTTTTAAAGTTTATACACAGGTGTTTTTCACACAACACCGCAGCAGGTTTCTCTTGGCAAATAATAACATGATAACTTGTACAATTATTGAATTTCATTTCTTTTTTTTTTTATTTTCTAAGCAATTCTTAACTTTTTTCTATTAAGACAAAATAAATTTTGTGGTCTTAATGAATAAAACTAAACAATTTATGTTTAAACAAACAATTCGACTGCAATATTTTGTACATATATTTTGAATAACCATTATATGTACTCACTTTTCTACCACAATTTTATAAACTTTAATGAGTGTTTTGAAACGGCACATTTATTAATGCATTTTAAAACAAATCGATGTCAATATTTTCTTTAACACTTAATTTCTGTGACGTCAATTTACTATTTTAAACTTTACTGCTTCTACTTAAAATTGACCACCCTATTTTTTGTTAATATTTTTTGATTACCTTTTATGCCCGATCTTTTTTTTTCTACAAAATAAAACAGTACTTTAAATATATTCAAATTTTTTTATTTCTTTACCAGTTATTGGTATAAAATTGCGGCTCGCAACCTTTAGTAAGCTCCAAAGAGTAGATCGTGAATAATGTGGAACTCTGTAACAAATTTTATATATGAAATATGACGTAATGATTTTGTTGACGTTAGCCGGAAAAATAAGATAAAATGCTTTTTCAGAAATAGCCAGCGACTACTTCCTAAGACGGCTTTCTATTTTGATTAGATTAAAATTTATAGTTCATTATTATTTTAAACAATAAATTATCTTTAATAGCAAACACTTTTTAGCATTCTCTTAAATTAAAGTTCAATTGAGATTTTCAGCATAGATTAAAATCTAAGTACTGACTTTTAACACTTTCTTTGCATAAAAAAAGTGCTGGGAAAAAAAATTAATCGCAATAAGTAAAGAAATATTTATACCAACAAAGCCACCTCTCAAACTTTATAGGGATTTAGAGTGTTTTTAATAACAAAAGAGCAAAACAACTTAATATGTTGTGCAAAGTTACACGTTTTTTGGTGTCAGTAAGATCGTAATACTTCAATATTTTCAATAAACAATATTGCATTGTTTAATTATTATTGTTTCCGTTATTGTAGATCGTTAAACACAATTTTATCGCTCATTTTATTACTGATCACAAATGTTTTATAAGTTATAATAACAATCAAAATTATTGTTTTATTTTTATTTTATTATTTTAATAGGTCTTTTAATAAACAGAATACTCCAAATATACGTATATCACCAGCATACGTACGTAAACCCCCAGCATACGTATTTCAGAATATGAATGTCGTCATTTACTAAAATTATTAAAAATATTTTGAACATTTATAAAAAAAATCAAACTTTTAATAGTTACGCTTACGCTTATGCGAAACTTATTTGTAAAAATATAAGCGGTTTAAGCCGTACTTCTATTGAAAAAGAAGATCTATTAAATCTAAAAAACTTCTTTGAAATATTATTCATTTAAGAAACCCTACCACACCCGTTGTACGTTCCTGACATTGCCTTGTCCCGATTACCATTTTGTTCCAATTAATGACTTGTGATCAAGCTGAAAAACAATTTACTTTATACGACTAATGCAAAAAATGGTGGCTAGCGACAAACAACACTTTGTTATCATGATCTTCCTGATTGGAATAGGAAAAAGGCAAATTTTCCCTAGGTCCCGCAAATTTTAGGCCACCACTTAAGTTCTTGATAAATTAAAAAAAGTTGCTTTCATCATCTTAGAATGGCTGAAACTAATAACATGTTTTTAGTGAAATGAAATGACTTTTTTCATAACAATGATCAATATAAACAGATTTCTATTTAATTACTCCTTCAATCTCTGCTAGGGTTGCAAAACTTCCGGAAAGTTTTAACTCGGGAAATTTTCCGGAAACTTTCCAGAAATTTTCAAAAAAAGATAAGTTATTTTATAATTAATGCGTAAAATTTTATGTCTTAGGCAGTTGTTATGGACAATTTTATGGTAAAATATTGGGAAGCAGATCATACAAATTTTAAAAAACCCCCTTTAAAAAACACTTTTTTTGGTATTTTTTTATTATAACTATAAGTAGCAACTATGATCATTTAATTTCAAAATTTTCTAAAACTGTTTTATCCTGTTATTTGCTTTGCATATTGATGTTCATTGCCGTATTTGTCAATATCTATTAAATTGACCGACAAATTACTGAAAACTTTAAAATTA